GCCCCAACAGCCCTGCAATTGTTTCCCCGTACACTAAGATCGTGTCAAAATGTCATGAATTGATTATATTCAAATTGTCAATCACAATTAGTAATCAATCATCACTACAATTCTACAAATGAAAATAACCAACAAATCAATTTATTTTCTTAAAAAAAAGTTGAACCCCAACCTTGGGGGAGCCTTCACCGTCCCATCTCTAGAGCTTTGTGAGGAAGGTAAATAGCGGAATGTGTCCCAACAGGTCAGGGAACAAGAGCTGCATGTACACTACGCCTACAAGAAGTCCAATTTCATGTCTCAGGAACCGAACCCCCACACTGCGACTGTCAGCAAGACTACAAATGAAAGTAACCAACAAATCAATTTATTTTCTTACTAATATGTTTCTTTAGAGTATATTATATTCATCCCAGAATTTAATGCATAAATATAATAGCCAACCCATCTTCTCCATTTTTTTTAATTAATTTTTTTCACTGATTTTTCGTGTAATTTTTACAAATTGAATCCTTGATCAATTTGCAGTGTAGAGCTGCAGCCTCTCTCCCTCGTGCTCAGACCAGGGCCAAATATGAGATGATTCTGATGATATAATGAGTCTAGTAGTTGCATTTTCCACCAAGTATGGTAATATGTGTTCTTTCATGGCGCTATACGAAATTTCAAGATGACCGCCAGAAACTTTTACAAACTTCACCTTCCCAGCTTCATCCAAGGATTTCAAACCAATCCGATCTTCAGTGTAGAGGGTTGTCTGCAAGGTTCAAAATACAGTATTTTTGGCATAAAACTTGTGATCTCAGCAGAACATGAGAGAAGAGGGTAGACATAAAAATTAACCAAATGCAGGTGATGAGAAATGATTCATGCAGGCGACGCCCCCAAAATAATGTTAAAGACTTATATTCATTTTATTTTTTATGCTAAATTTTCGATTTCAGACATAATGAAACCAGTATGCTTTGTTTCCATTTCAATCTCAAACAGTGCCTCTCAAGATATTCCCAAAAAAGAGTTTAGATACAAAGCTCTTGCATTCCAAGCAAGCATTTGTTAAAAATGGGTCTTGAATCTCGAAAATATTATAAGGGTTTGACTATGGTAGAAATTTTAAATTCATTGCCTAAAAGAGACAACACAATTTAGTTAACAAAACTCGATAATAAACAATAGAATTACCTCTTGTGCAGGCAAAACAGGAGTCCAGGAACTATCTGGAAAATACCCAAACCAAGATGTCTCTTTGGGCACCAGTATTGTATCATTCTCGAACTGAGGATGAAATTAAAAAGAAATAAAATCTTTAGCATTTTTAAGATTTTTTTTTTTTTCCTTAGATCTGGAAAAATTACATTCTTCCTATCGAGCAAAGAGAAAAATGTCAGAACCTCACAACTTACCATGATAAGCACCAAGCCCTGCAAGCTAGCAAACCGCTCCTTGTAAGCCGAATTCCTATGTAATTCGTTGTTAAGCTTTGGGAGGAACCTACATCCTTTATTGTATTCATTTATGTCCTGGAAAAGAGGCAGAAAAGAAAGAACGAAAAAATGACCGGACCACTTTCTTTGACTTGAAAATGATGCTTAATTCCGACATAAACATTGCTCAACAAACATTGTAAATATTTAAAAAGAGAGTACAATAAGGACGCTACGGTGAATATTGCTAGTGTGGAACATATAAGGATACTCACGGTTGGAATTTTGATATAATTAGCAGGTGCCAGATGTTCCTGAAATTACAAACAAAGGGTGTCAATTTAAATGGTATTGTGTACTAGAAGGGACAAATACTGAGTGTCATTTAGTTTAAAACTTCAAGGCTCTACAGTTCACAGTTTTTGTTCATTTTCTTGGTGTAAATGTAAATATAGATTGTGAAAATTTGAACTGTAAGACAAACTTTGAACCTGAACATAGTTGCTGTAAACTGCCAACTGTATCAAAAAGTCCACTAAAATGCATACCAGAGCAGACTGCAAAAACAGGGGACTAATCAAACCGAAGTTGCAAGAGTAAACCGTTAACACGTTTATAAAAGGAAAATTTCCCTGAAACAATAGATATTGTTGGAAGTCACTCTTTTAACCACCGTACTAGCAATTAGAAACATCCTAAGTTGGCAGATACTTACACCATGTGGTTGCTTGCTTCACACATATTTCAAAGTTTATACTCTCTCCGTCCCATAAGGATAATCCTATTGCTTTTTTCACATAGATTAAGAAAATTTAGAAATATAGTTGAAATAATAAATTTTACTATCATTTTTTCTAATATACCCCTACATTAATGCAATCATTTTTCAAGGTTATTAAATTATATTTGTGATAACAAAGCACACTAAATCAGGCATATTAGGAAGGTTCACATTCGCTTTAATAATTTAGTTTCGGTTAAGGTAATGATAAGTAAAATTGAATTAATCAATCTTTGTGGAACGATATTTGGACTCATTTAATCCACGTTATTACTTGTTAACGAACCATACACTTACGGTAGTTTTAAATCGAAAGAAATAATTTCGTGGTCATGTCTGATTTACTTATGTATTACAAAGTTTCATTACTACTGACTTTACCACAAACTATTTCTCATTGCATAGGCTACATTTAGAATGCTGGAAAGAGGACAAGTTAATTACATATGGATCATGCAATCACGTGTTAGTTTTAAATGTTACTAGTTCTTTGATTGATCTTAAGAATTACAACAGTATAAATTGTTGAGAAAAATGTAGGGAAATCTGAATACTTAATGAACTCCAAGGCACAAAAAAACAGTATTTTTTAAGAGATGTTTCTCCCCTAGCCAACAAAGTCACAAATGGGGTATGATAGAAAATCTCTCTCAGGATATAATTGAGACGTTTGATTCAAATTGTGACTATTTGATCAAATTAAGAAGATATTCGAAAATAACTGATTGATGCCAAGAGAAAGAAGGAAGAATAATTTTTTAATGTGTTTTGCAAACGAGAATTCGCCCAGAATTTATAGAAATTGAGGCAACCGTTTGAATAGGCGTGTCCCTTGAAATCCTTGCGTACATCTACTGGAAGTGACTATTAAAAACAAACAGGTCGATCCCTGTTGCGCAGCGACAAACACTAGTCAGGCGGCAAATTATTCGCAATACAAAAATAAATACATGCAAAATGAAGAAAAATATCTAACATAAATCTTGTATATATGAAGTTCTAACATTCACAGGAGGTTTGTTTCTGATCCAAAGCTTTTTATGCAAACTGTAATCTTAAAAAGATCGAGGAGTAATCTCAATCATATTCTTATCCACAGTAAGCTTGTTCAGGGTCAGAGTTCCTGTTTTGTCACTGCGAAGAACATCCATCCCAGCCATTTCCTCGATAGCAGTCATTCTCTTTGTTATGGCACCCTAAATTAAAACATGCGAAGAATCTTCAATATACTTTTGGCTACCTTACTTTATGGAGAAAATAAAACGTATCCATTGTTCTCTTAAACGTTTGGCAGGAATGTGTCCATGGTTGTTATTAATACCTGCTGAGATAAGCAATGTGATCAAATAGCCATGGTGACAGAAAGAACAGTTGGCATAGCAATGGGAATTCTACCTATGAGCAGTACAAGAAGATTATCAATACCAGTACGGTAGTCCCTCTCCTGGATGTCATGTATCACAATAATCTCAATCACCGTCGAAACAGCAATTGAGCAAATGCAGAAGTTTCTTAATGTCAAAGATTGATAAAAATACGATACTAAGGCAAATAAAAGTGCAAATTTATAGCTGGAAGCTAGAGCAATCATTGGCTTTTGGAGCCAATCGAGACATGAGGGCAGCTGCTGCATTGCCAGCATTATTTTCATCAATAAAACTGATTGTGGAGTTGATAAGGAGCAAGACAATGATGCCAACAAAGTCAGGAAAGTCTGATGGCTTGTCCTGCAAAAAATAAGTTTATCAACATGAAATTATTACAGTATTTAACTCTTAACTGTAATGAAATTTATCTATTTCAAGTTTTTAATTAAAATCAACAATCTAACTCTAGAGCCTTGCTTCAATATTTTACTAATGTTGATGTAGGAGTTGAAATAAAAGCTAAATGGATCCTTACACCCCGTGTGCAAGACCAATGGCCATTAAAGCAGCTGCTTTCATTACCCACGATAGAGGATTCACATAAAGCTTAAAAATTTCAAAATCTTGTTTTCTTACAGACATACAGAATAGATAAGAAAGATCAAGGTATGAAGAAGAAAAAAATAATAATAATAAGAGAGAGACCACCTTCATGATGAGAAGGCAGGTGGGTGCGGGTGGGGCAGGCCGGCCCTGAGAAATTTGAGGCCCTAGGCGACTAATAATTATGAGATTCTTATATATATCAAAACATGATATGTCATTGTGTTCACATTTTCAAGAAAAAACACTAACATACTCCAAACAGACAATATACTTTATGAAATTAAACATGCTACGAAACGATGTAATATTTTGCATTTTTTTACTAATTAAGAATAAATCTTTACATCACTATGTAGAAATATGATATAAGTTGTTGAATTCGCCATTTGAGAAAGCAACTGTAACATATTAGTGTATAACATACAAAGAAACTTACGGAATAAAATAGAATATGAAGCCATGTTACACTACACATTTTTTCACTATTTCTTAGCATTTAAAAATTAAATAGCAAAATATCAAAATTGGATTATCATCTTGTTGAATCGTGGTTCGACATAGTGTCTTGATCTCTTGTACTTCCGATAGAGTTTTTGAGCAACTATTTAAAATCTCATAAATATATATTACATGATGATATATAAATGTATATTATATACCAATCAATACTTAAATTAAATATTTATAAATAAATAATAGATGATGAAAGAATACTTAGAAGTACAAGAACTACATATATGGGTTCCAATTGTTATGGAAATCCGATCTCCCCAATTTTAGCCTTAATTACACGAATTCATTGTCATATTCAATTTGACCAATTATTATGGAATTGTTTTGAAAGATTTTCCATTTATGCAGAGTCAGTGTTGGTTTCCTTAATTAACGCTATAAATAGATTCCAATTGTTATGAAAATTTAACCTAAAATTCAAGTATTTTTGGAATAAAATCTTCATAATTTTAGAATTTCTTCCTTTTTGTAGGATACATTCGGAAATTTCCCTTTTTTTTTTCTTGGAGGCCCCTAGAATGTTGAGGCCCAAGGCCATTGCCTAGTTGACCTTGGGTCAAGGCCGGGTCTCGGGTGGGGATGGGGGTGGCAATTCTAACCTTTTTCTCTTCGAGTTTATTGTACCCAAATAACTCCAATCTTTTCTGAACTTCA